TGGTATCCAACCACTTGGACGGTCGGGAATTGAATGCCGACCTGCATGAAGCGAGGTACCCATGGGGGCGGAATGGGTTCCGGTGATGTCACATCCCATGGGCCATGTTTCTCACTAATAGGAGCGAAAACGTCTGGGAAAGTGATATTACCCATTGTCCAAAGGTAAGGCGGGTTGTTTTAGGGAGTGTACTGTGGCCCTGGTGCTGTTACCCATAGGAAGGGGTAAGTACTTGTATCCATGGGTAGGTGTGGCTTCCCTGGAGAGTGTAATGTTAACCTAACCCAATGGTACCTTCTGGGTAACTGGGTAATTCTTTGGGTGTAATATTGGGTTAAATCTGGGGTTACCGATGTTAACAAATTAGCTACTTCTGGATTAGTGATGTGAACCTTACTCTATAGTAACCATGGGCTGGATAGGATTATTTTGGATATGTGATTATCCTTGTTCGGAGTTGCCTAGGAGTAGCAGGAGAAGTTTAAGAGTACTTCATGACCTGTTTCCTTAAAGGTGTGTTTACTTCTAGGTGTAACAGTAGAACTCTAATACTGAAAGACCATAGATTTAACATTGAAAGTTGGTAGTGACATGATTGGCAGCCTAGGCTAATCCCTTCCCCAAGGGATTAGCCTCATGTGTAGAAAACGGTAGCGCCTCTCTGATTTTTTTTTTTTTTTGAGATATATACAAGAGTTGTTACATTCTTGTACAGCCACTAGTACGCGTAGCGTTTCGGGCAGGTCCCTGGAATACGATCCCCGCCGCGAAGAATCGTTGTTACAACCAAGTACACATTTTACTGTTGAGTTAAACAGAGGCTACAGTTAAGGATTTGAGCCCAGTAAATCCTCCCCGGCCAGGATACGAACCCATGATGATGATCCTGTGTCGAGCCATCAAACTAGTTGAATAATTTAAGGTATTACAGAATTAGTAGGAATTATCAATCGTGGTTAAGTACTTATCTTAAAATTAACATCATTTGAGAATAATGAATAAGTCTTGTATGTTATCAAAGAAACATTTGACTTCAGTGAGATTTGAATATATGTCAGAAATATTTCGTCACCGGAAAATAAGTACCTTCCCAACTCGTTTGTTAATTTATGTAAATTAGTGAAATACAAGTGCTACTGAATATTGTAATTAGCCTGGCTCGAGTATCAAGGTAATTCCCAATTGTTTTGGAATAATAAGTTACCTTTAGTGAAGCATATAGGATTTTTAGTTAGTAATCTTCTTCAAACATTAATTTGGCAACTGAGGTAGGGTCAGTCTCATTGATTGATTGATGAAGATTAAGGCACCCAAGAGGTGGCACGGGCATGAATAGCCCGTAAGTGGTGGCCCTTTTGAGCCATCACCAGTATCAAGAGCTGATACTGGAGATCTGTGGAGGTGCGACTGCACCCTGCGTGACGGGAGATGTCTCCCGTGGTCAGTCTCAGACAGGTCAGTGTGGTTTGAGACATCCAGGGAGGTCAACACACTCCACACCTCCTTTCAGAGGACAAGGCTGAACAACTGGTCTATCTGTGGTATTTAAGGTAAATGTTCTGTGTTCTGGTTAAATTACAGTGTAGAATCCACATTATTTGTTGTAGTTAATTACCAATTGCCTCAGTTAGGAAAATATTCAGTTAGGAAAGTGTTCAGCTTAGGGAGTGTTACTTTTATTTTATTTTTATGTATAACCTTTGATTTAATAAACTTTGGTTAGAATATTATGGTGTTTAGTGAAATTTCTCCAACGTTTACATGGCTGCTAGTCCACTACGGGCTCAACATACCCGTGCTACTTGGAACATTTTGTTCCAGGTAGCGAATCTTAAACAACAACATGTTGGGCTCAAGCCTCATGTTTGGAACTACCACCTCTGCAAGCCTGCAAGCAGTTATTTAATACCTCAGATAATCCCTTTGTACTTTGATTTAATTTCCACACTTAACGTAAATCTTATCCCTCCTTTCCTGATAACTGGGGATCCATTTTCGGGGTTTATGCTTAATTGGCGGTATCCTGCTTCACCGTCAATTGGGGGAATTGGTGGGTATCTTCTACCTGGTGGGTAGAAGATAGCAGGTGGTGGCGGCGTAAGTCAGAGCTGACAGTGTAGCATTGAAAGGTACAGCATCATTGAGCAGTGATATCTAAATGATCAAACGTTTAGATCTTGAGTTACGGGCTATTCATGCCCGTGCCACCTCTTGGGTGGCTTAATCTTTATCAATCTAGATCTTGAGGAGCTGAACTGAAGGGTACGCAGTAGAACTCTGGTTTCTGTATATTTACTTAATAACGACCAGGATTTAACAAGAAGTGAGGTTAAAGGCTGGGTACGTGTGGGTACTTGGGTACGAGTGGGTACTTCTAGGAGTATGACGTGATCCTGATGCTATGTTATCCATAGGTGAGTACTCTTGGGAATGTGAATATGTTTAATTTTGAATGGTATCTGTGTCTCTGTGAATATGAGAGACATGGTAGAGTTGAATCACGGTGAGTATGACACACATGGTAGAGTTGAATCACGGTGAGTATGACACACATGGTAGAGTTGAATCACGGTGAGTATGACACACATGGTAGAGATGAATCACGGTGAGTATGACACACATGGTAGAGTTGAATCACGGTGAGTATGACACACATGGTAGAGATGAATCACGGTGAGTATGACACACATGGTAGAGTTGAATCACGGTGAGTATGAGAGACATGGTGAGGATGGTGACAATATCATGGTGTGAGGGTTGCATGGTGAGTGAGAGTTCGGCGCGATCAAGAGTGCCAAAGTGAACACAAGAGGGCTATGGTAAGTGCCAGTTCAATTGTCTTTTAAGTGCAGGCAGTTAGTAAGAAGAGAGGGGGAGAGCCAGACATCAGTTGTCAGGTAATGGCACGGTGCCACCAACAACCTTGCCGCTATTTGACCTGACGGGAGGGGGGGGTAGGGGGTAGGTGAGTAAGAACAGGGAAGGTGAATAGATTCATGATTCAATAGTCCAGCGTAATATTACTCATCCTGCTTTGATTCATACTCACCCACAACTAACATGAAGAACTATTAAGTAGCATTTTATTGATATGTCAGAATTTTTGTAACTAGGTTGTTGGTAGAATTTATTTGTATTTCAGAGCATATTTCTCAGGTTATAAGATGGCCGGTCGGGACAGCGGACAGCACGCGGGACTTGTGATCCTGTGGTCCTGGGTTCGATCCCAGGCGCCGGCGAGAAACAATGGGCAGAGTTTCTTTCACCCTATGCCCCTGTTACCTAGCAGTAAATAGGTACCTGGGTGTTAGTCAGCTGTCACGGGCTGCTTCCTGGGGGTGGAGGCCTGGTCGAGGACCGGGCCGCGGGGACACTAAAGCCCCGAAATCATCTCAAGATAACCTCAAGATGGCGCTTGTTAAGAGTTCTGAAGGCCCTTGCGTTGTCTCCTAGCCACCTTGTTGTTGTTTAAGATTTGGCTACTCAGAACAAAAAGTCCATGTAGCACGGGCTATGGTGAGCCCGTAATCCCATCCACCTGTCACATGACCTCTTATACCCAATGAGTGGTGACCTGGGATGTTGAACGACAGCAACATCACTCATTTGCATTAGCTGCATGCAAATGAGTCCGGGGAATAGTTACTTCGCACGGGAGACATCTCCCGTCACGCAGGGTGCAGTCGCACCTCCACAGATCTCCAGTATCAGCTCTTGATACTGGTAATGGCTCAAAAGGGCCACCACTTACGGGCTATTCATGCCCGTGCCACCTTTTGGGTGGCTTAATCTTCATCAATCGATCTTGAGGTTATCTTGAGATGATTTCGGGGCTTTTTTTTTAGTGTCCCCGCGGCCCGGGCCTCCACCCCCAGGAAGCAGCCCGTGACAGCTGACTAACACCCAGGTACCTATTTTACTGCTAGGTAACAGGGGCATAGGGTGAAAAGAAACTCTGCCCATTGTTTCTCGCCGGCGCCCGGGATCGAACCCGGGACTACAGGATCACAAGTCCAGCGTGCTGTCCGCTCGGCCGACCGGCTCCCGTCATGGTTTGGCTAACAGGAAGATTGACTTGTGATGGATGATAAAAACATGATTGACGGATGAAGCAGAGCGGGTCGTGTGATCCGGCGGGTGACAAAAAGTCGAGGTTGTTTCGCAGTGATTGATGTTAAGGACGGTCGAAGACCCGGTTCCAGCGGTCCTTGACTCATCAATGAGTCTTAATGCAGACGATGAGTCACAATAACGCGGCCCAAGAGAGGAAGACCAAATCACACATCAGAAGAACGAAGAACGGACGACGTTTCGGTCCGTCTTGGACCATTATCAGGTCATTACCCGACTTGATAACGGTCCATGACTGACCGAAA